TCTGCCTGGCAGGAAAACCTTGTAATGAAGGTACCTTAGATCCTACTGAAGCACTGAATGTCATCTTACTCATTTACACATCAGCTTTGCTACTTTGCAATTTTATTCTTACCATCCTTTCCAATAGTAAGGATGAGGTACTGAAAGGAAGGTCAAGAGGCTGGACCTAATCTGTTTCTAAAGACATTCAGTGATAAGTATCTGTTGACTAATGTTATTTATTGACCTCTTCCAGCAGTGTTTCTTACTATTTGTATTCAACTATTTTAGCCCTATGACTTGGGTAGCATCTCTGTGTTCCTACCAGGCAGTTGAATCTGTCTGTTGTTCTGTTTCAAGTCACTGTACATGCAGAAGAAATTGTTCCCGTTGGTTCAGCCCATTTTGATTATGGTTAGCCTGATTTGGCAAACCCAGGCTGGCTCATGGTGAAAAATGTAATGCTTAAAATAGTATGTGTGGCTTTGACCTGTGGTGGGAACTCTTAGAAGGGGAAAGCCTTTAGCTCTTTTTCCTGCTCCCCTGGCAGAATGCACTTGCTTTTCCATCACAGTGCACCATCTACTCTCCAAATCTGGTATATGGGACTATGGAACAAGAAAAGCTGCAGTGTAGAGCAGTTTAAGGAAACTGGGTGATGCCTGTGCTGATCTGTGAGTCAATGACTAATGAAAGAGAGGAAGGCTAACAGTCTCTGCCCAGGGCACAGGCTGTCAAGGAATACCTATTCAGTTCTGTGGCTATGTTTTGAAGGGTTCATTTCCAGTTTGAATTTGTCAGTAGTCTTTAAACAGTGGCTGGGTTTTGTGGGGGGGATGGACAAAACTGTTCCAGGGCCTTATTTAATCTTCTTGTTTTCTGGTCTCTGTGCCTTTTCATTGCAGAGGTTAAAGCCTGAAGGAGGGAAGAAAATAAGCATTTCTATCTTTCAGCTTTCAATATATACTGTCTCCTAATTAAGTAGTAATTGAACAATGCAAACTGAAATAGAGATACTTTATTTATAAGAGAAACAATTGGCTTAAAAATAGACTTTTGTCTTTTTTCTAGGTGACTTACTGATGGCTTCCTGATTCTTTTTCCTTATGTTTGAAATTGACAGAAAACATAGCCTGAGTATTGTTTTTACTTTAAATGGCTGCAGGGCACAGTATTTTAAGTCCTGTTATAAAGCATTGTTAAGTTCACGTTGAACTTACACTTACTTTCAAAATACTTTTTAAAGTTTGTTTTAAAAAAAAGATCAGCTGAAGCTATAGTTCAGTACTCAAGTGGCACACTCTTCTAAGCAACATGTAGTAATATGTATAAATGATGGAGCAACTAACTTACTGCCTGTGTTAACACAAGCTAAATAAAAATTGCTTGACTTATTCTTATCAAGATTGCTCTTAATGAAACTATAAGAAAAAAACAGAAGTGAATGTCAGCAGCCCTGATAAAGGCAATTCTGACAACTGTCAACACCTTATTCCTTTGTGTGTGTGTGTGTGTGTCTGTGTGTGTGGCTGATAGAGTTTTTTATGAAGTTCACAAATCTGTATTCTAATTTTTTTGAATTATAGTTGTTCAAAGTCTTCCAGGTTGCTCTGAGCAAATGCCATAGGCGTTAAAAAAAGTGCTGTAAGAAAAATAATGGTAAACTCTAGGTCAAGGTAGTTGAATTTCTGTAACTCCACAGTTAGTGGAGTTACTTCACTTAGGCTTGCTGGCAGTTCCCAGACTGTACAGTCAGGTTAGCAGAGACCATTATCTGGAAAACCAAATGGATTTTGGTTCCAGTGACTACTAAAGGCTACTTTCTTGTAATCAGGTCTGGAAGTACAAGATGTATTTAAGTAGTTGTTCTTTGTTTAAAAGAAGACTGTAAGGCAGCTTTTAGTGTGCAGAATGAATCCTCATATTGAAATGTCTTTGAACTTTAGTAAAATGCTAATCCTCCTGCCTCCTCTTTAACAAACTTCTGTCTGAATTCTGTCTTCAGTCTTGAAGCCTCTAAGATTGTTGTTCTTCAGAACTAGATGTAGGTTTTGTGTTTTACAGCCTGAAAAGTATCGGTAACCTTTCCAATATTCATTTCTTTTTTCAAATATGTTGAAAGAGCCTTGCTCATCATTGAAGTATTTAGAAATATTTTTATTTTTAATTTTCACAAATTAGAAAGAGGAAAGGGCAAAGTTGTGAGAGTTGAATCTTCAGGTTTGGGTCCTTTTACCACAGAGGAATAGAGAAGAGTTAAGTGACGAAAAGAGGATATTATGTTTTCTTTCTTGCATCTGCAAGATCATCTTCATTGTCATATTATTTTGTAATACTAGACCGCCAGAGATTTTTTGGTAACAATACTACATTTTTTTTTTAATTTTTTTTAAAACAGTCCCAGGGATGGTCGATGTAACAGAATTCTTTGGGTTCTTTTTAAACAGTAGTCTAATACTGTCTTTTTGTTCCCCTGCATATGCCTACTTTTCTACTTACTTTTCCCCTCTTCCTACCTGATTTATAAAGACTCTGCTCGTCTGCTTTGGCAACTCTGTTATGGATTTTCTTCTTCCTTTGCCAAGAATATGGTGGACTGGGAAGATGTTTATGAGTACAACCCAAACTGAGTTTGAATACCAGCCAGTGAAAGGGAGAAACTTGGGTTAGTCTGTAAGTACAGAACATAATTATGAGCATGAATCGCTACCTATGGCTTACTCCATAATCGTCCTTTCTCTTAAATGTAGCACCTATCTTCTAGTTACTCTTGTAAGCAAGTATTCATCTTGCTAAAATTTTGTTCAGTCTTAGTTTGGCAGCTTTTAAGTTTGCATGTTTTTCCTCTAATGCATATATACAAGTAAAAATTCTGTAATCTAACAGAATTAGAGAGAAATTCAATTTTTTAATATGTTTGTAAGTGAAGAGTTTTGCATTTCTATAGACAACAGTTCTGAAAGCAAATGCCATTAATAAAAGGTGGAAACTGCTATTTGAATGAGATACTGATGCTTTAATCTTATTATTTTCATCCCCAAATCAACATTAATTAACACTTGTGTGACTGTTCCTTTTTTGTGCTTATTCAGTTACTGTATAAAATACCATTTGACTACAGAATAACACAGATGAGCTGTGCCTTTTTTTGTCCCAATTAGTGTTGAACCGTTCACGCTTCAGGGGCTTTCAAAAACAGTCATCTCAATGGAGGTTGGGGTTTTTTTTTTTTCATTACTTTAAGTAACATGATACTGTTTCATCCAACACTTTTCTCATTCATTCCTAAATAAGGTTCTATATTCTAATGTGAGGGTGGGAAAGAGCAATGTAATGCCTGATGGGAATTCCTTTTCTTTTCCTCAAAAAACTACTCAAACAGAATGTTGCAAAAGTAGAATCATCTTCCAGACAACAGTTGACAACATGGCTGTTTTGAAAACAACAGAACGGTATTTCTGTGTTGAACTTTGGAAGCCACCGACTTACAAGCAAAAACCCACCAATTTGATATTTATTATAGATCTTCTGATCTTTTAGTAATTTGTTATAAATCTTGTAGATTGAATGTGGTATTTCAGAGGAAATCTTTAAGGTGTGAACCATGTTTTGCTTTAGAATAAATGGCCTAGAATTTTAAATATTACTCCTTCAAAAGTGAGCCTGTTCAGACTTTTTATGCAAGTTTTATTTCTAGTATCCATTTGTAAGTTCTGCTCTCAAGTGATTTGCTTTTTTGTCAGCAAGCAGTTCAGTATCTTCTAACTTCACACATGTATCAAAAGAATCACCATTCCAATTGTCTGTGCTGCTGTATTTGAAATTCTAAGAAGGATTAACTACAGAGAAGCATATAAGTTCTGGGGGCTTTGCTTTGTTTTGTTTTGTTTGTTTTGTTTCCTTTGTGCCTGGAAAAATAACATTGCAGCATTTGGAAGATCACTATTCTATAAGCTGGACTTTCAAGCAGGTTGAGGGAGAAGATCTCTCCCTTTTACTCAGCACTGGTGAAGCCTCACCTGGAGTAGTGTATCTGCTTCCAGGCTCCTCAGTGCTAGAGAGACATGGACATGCTGGAGAGTCCAGCAACCGAGCCACAAAGTTGATTAAGGGACTGGAGCAGCTAACATGTGAGAAAAGGCTGAGAGAGCTGGGACTGTTTAGTGTAGTGAGGGGGGGGGGGGGGGGGGGGGGGGGGGGGGGGCGGATCCTGTTAGTGTATATAAATATCTGAAGAGAGTGTGCAAAGAGGACAGAGCCCAGCTCGTCTCAGTGGTGCCCAGTGACAGGAGCAGAGGCAGTGGGCACAAACTGAAACACAGGAGGTTCCCTCTGAAGGTCAAGAATCACTTTTTCACTGTGAGGGTGACTGAGCAGTGGCACAGGCTGCCCAGGGAGGTTGTGGAGTCTCAATCCTTGCAGATACTCAAAAGCCGTCTGGACATGGTTCTGGGCAACTGGCTCGAGGTGGCCCTGGTTGAGCAAGGGATTTGGACCAGATGACCTTCAGAAGTGTCTTCCAACCTCAATCATTCTGTGACTTCAGTTCAGAAGTTGCAAATGCGAGAATGTATGATCTATTAAAAATACAGCTTCCTCTTAGTTTTTACCGTGTGAATGATGGTGGTCCCTTAGCGAGTGGTTATTATTGATCCTTGAATGTTAGGCTAATATTTTGTACAGTCTTTGAATGTTTGGTGGTATTCTTAAGATGATAACACTGCTATGAGTTACACTTTTTCATTGTACTTTTCTTTCTAAAACCAGATTTATTTTTTTAGATGAAGTAATCATATTTGTAACCATTCCTTTATGATGACATCCAGTACTGACTATTCCTAAAACGTGTCTCGAGAGAAGATGAGGCTTTGTGGATTTTTTTTTTCCTCCTCTGTCTTGAAGTCACCAGTAGTCTGTGTAAGCTACTGAAATAATCAGTACAGAAAAGTGATTAACCAGAACGATAATTCTTGCTGTTTCCACTAATTTTTTCTTGTCTTTTTTTGTGTATATGCAGAGCACAAAGTAATCATAGTGGGACTTGATAATGCTGGAAAGACTACTATTCTTTACCAATTGTAAGTATACAAACTACTTTGTTTCTCTGTTTACATTTTAGTATTTGTCATTGTTTAATCATTGAAAATTCAGCTTTGCGACCTGGCAGAATCTCTAGGGGTGTAGATCACAGTTTGTACATTAATGGGAATAGTTATTGTAAAGCGAGTAAATATTTAAAGTATAGGTGAAGGAACTGCAATGTTTTAAAACTGAGCTATAAATTGAATAACAAAATTGTACCTAGAGGCACAAAGTGAACTGCAAATTCTTTTGCTGTCAAAGCCTATCTCTATTTGTAAGCATAGAAATATCCTGTTGCTAAGAACTCCAGAGAAGAAAGTGATTTCTAAATTAATGGATATTCTAGCCAGTCTGCAAAAATCCATGAATGTTTCCAAATGTTTCTTGATTCTAGTCTCAAATTTGTGATGGAAGATTCCTCAAAATAGTATTTCATCTTGCCTACATCCTACCTTATGCATTTTCAATAGCATCATTGCTCCCAAGTCTTGCCAGTATTACAGGAATGAATGATAAATTCAAGAATATTGGTGGGTACATAATTACTATTGTAATTGTGGAAAAGGAGGAAGGTGTAGCCAAAGTACAATGCATATATTTGGATACAAAGGCAGCAGAGGATATTTTCCAAAAAAACTTTTTCCTAAGCACCTTTGGCAAAGTTTGAAGGTTAGAACTGAGAAATTTTTGGCTATGTAAACAAACAGTCCTTAGTAATTTGTTTTAATATTGAGTTACTAAGTGAGTGATCTGATAAAATTATATTCTGATTTATATTTTGCACAGTTTAGTGTTCCCTTTATTTGGGGTCTTTAGAACAGCAGCTTCTACTTTGAAATAAGTGCATTTTAAGTATCTGTTAGTGTCCTTTAAAAAGAGAAGCCTCTTAAAACACAGATGCTTATCCATTTGTTATAAGCTTTTTATGTGATTTATTTTTCATTGCACATGTCTACAGTCTCTGCTACAAAGGCATACTAGAGCTTCGTCAATCACAGCTTTTAGACCAAATTCAGATTGAACTAATCTTTTTACTAAAGAAAGAACTGCTCTTAAATATTTGCTTTATTTCTATAAAAATTCAAATGTGTAGCTTTTTGAAATATGCCTGGTTTTTGATTTCTTGTTTGTTTGTTTGTTTGTTTTTTATCGGTTATACGTATTTACTTTTCCTACAACAGATTTGTTACAATTGAGCTGTGACAAGACTTGTGGGTTGTACTGGCTGGTCTTTATGGTGTGATATTGTTTCCTTTAGCTTAATGAATGAAGTGGTTCATACTTCTCCAACCATAGGAAGCAATGTAGAAGAAATAGTGGTGAAAAACACTCATTTCTTAATGTGGGACATTGGAGGACAAGAATCGTTAAGGTCATCATGGAATACCTATTATTCAAACACAGAGGTATGAGAAGTTGCTTTGAAATCTGGAAGTTCAATAAGTTTGTTTGACATTGTATTTATTTATTAAGAATATTGGTAGATTTTAATAAAGATTGCAGCTGTATTATTTTGAAATCTTGAATCATAGAATAGTTTGGGTTGGAAAGAACATGTAAAGGTCATCTAATGTAACCCTCCTGCAATGAGCAGGGACATCTTCAACTAGATCAGGTTTCTCAGGCCCCCTGTCCAACCTGGCCTTGAATGTTTCCAGGGATGGGGCATCTACCTCCTCTCTTGGTAACCTGTGCCAGTGTTTCACCACCCTCATTGTGAAAAATTTCTTCCTTAGTTCTAGTCTCGATCTACCCTCTTTTACTTTAAAACTGTTACCCCTTGTCCTATTGCTACAGGCCCTGCTAAAAAGGCTGTCCCCATCTTTCTTACAAGCCCCCTGTAAGTACTGGAAGGCTGCAATAAGGTCTCCCTGGAGCCTTTTCTTCTCCAGGCTGAAAAACCCCAACTCCCTCAGCCTGTGCTCATAAGAGGAGAGGTGTTCCATCCCTCTGATAATTTTTGTGCCCCTCCTCTGGACCCTCTGCAACAGGTCCATGTCTTTCCTGTGCTGAGGGCTCCAGAGCTGGACACAGTACTGGACACAGACCCAGGTAGGGTCTCCCCAGAGTGGAGTAGAGGGGCAGAATCCCCTCCCTCGACCTCTGCCGCGCTTATTTGATGCAGCCCAGGATATGGTTGGCCTTCTGGGCTACGAGCGTACTTTTCTGGCTCATGCCCAGCTTTTCATCCACCAGTCTCCCCAAGCCCTTCTTGGCAGGGCTGCTCTCAATCCCTTCATCCCCCAGCCTGTATTGATACTGTGGGTTACACAGACCCAGGTGCAGGACCCTGAGTTTAAATCTAAACCCAAGAAGTGTAAGGTGTCTCTGGTATGCAGCCAATTTTCTGGTAATATTTGAAGTTTTTTTCCTGTATACTTTACAGTAATGTTGTTTAATTTGTCATACAAATGTGAAGTTAGACTTTTTTCCTAGACAATCACATGATATCAAAATACATTTCAGATCAAGCAGGTTTTTTTGCATGGTTTTTCAATTAGAATAAAAGGAAAATTTTGTAAATTCGGTGAGTATCTGCAGTGGTTAACCTAACTCCTGTACATCTAGTCTGAATTGTTTTTGAGGTAAAAATAATTAAGGGTGAGGAATGAAACTTTCTCTTATTCTTTTAAAAAGCTCATCAGCTTGCGGCTTTTATCCAAAGGATAAAGGAAAGTTTAGCTGTCCAGTACTCATCAGGTAACTGGTAAAGCTACCATTGCTGGAAAGGTTGGAGTAGAGCTCAGCAACAGCTGTCTTTTGGGGGTTTGATCTTTATGCCAGTCTTTTTGATGCCAAAAGGTTATCAATGCAACATGCACATAAAATCTCTGTAGAGAGATGTAAAAGATATTAGACTTAATTTCTTACTATTCTACTAGTAGTAGAGATCTCTTGTAGGTATTACTCATGATATAAGCATTCCATCCTCCTGTAAAATGAGGTTTTCTGTCCTGTGGTCCCCTTTGAGAGAGGGGAGATTAGAGTGATCGACCCTAGATGTTCAGAAACTTTTTATCTACTAAAAGCCTGGTTATGACATAATCAACCTTCATCTCTAGTATTTTAAACTTAATTTTATCTAGAAAAGTATGGCTACTTCTAAGGCACATACAAATGAGGGTGAAGAGACTTCTGCCAGCATTATGTGGTACAATAACAATAAGTTCTTGACATTTGTCCACTGAGAATCTTTGATTTTGGAATCTGGGGAGATTTATACATTAGGGTTTTTTTTATTCTTTTGAGATGTTGTTCATCATATTCTGGCTAGTAAGTGTTTGAAATCCAGTGCTTTCTAGTACTTGGAAAGAAGAACTTTCCCTTTACTTAGAAGCTTTGTGTGCTGGAAACAGTTGAGGAGGAAAAGGGGTCTGTTTAATATGCTAATCCTAGCCTTCCCAATATGAGTAATTCCTTTACTGTTTCTCCTCATCTGCTAGACATCTCAAAGTCACAGCAGCATTAAATTGACCTAGTTTTTCATATTTTGTGGTCATTTTCAATGGGTAATGAATCTCCTTAATTTTATAAGGCAAAGTGATTTGGAGCATATGTTGGAGAATTATAGTGGTGACTTCTAATCCTTCTGTTTTGTTACTGTCTCTCTTTTCTCTTTCCTTATCTGTAAATTGAAGCAATCTAAACAAAATCTTTGGAGTGATGTAAAAATCCCACAAATAATCTTGTCAGTGCATACCTGTCCTAATTAGTTTCAACTTAATATGGCTAATTCTGCAATTCTGTTTTAACAGTCAGATCATATTTTTGCATAAAGGATGTTGAGACAGGCTTACAGACATTACAAGATTTGAGGGGAGAAGAAAGGGGAGGAAGCTCTTATGGTTAAATTATTGGGGATGGGTGCAAACAAAAAGAGTTACAGTAAAATAGAAAAGGGGTGGAAGACTATTTCCATCTAGGCAGAGAAGTGATGGAGTCTCTCAGATGAATGTCATCTCCTTGGTTTCCTCTACAACATAGCATGTGTTCCCTGTAATTTTATTTTTTTTTTAATAGTATCTGTATAATTTTCATCGGATATCCCTACCAGTTGTTCCCATCTACGATGCTGTTAGCGCTGCTTGGAGCACACTCTGGGCAGGGCAAGTCTTGAACACTGATCAGCTGTTACGGTTTGTGCACATAAATTATGTTGTGTAATGCTTATAAGCATTTACTTGAGTATTACCTGCTATGTAACGCCATGTCTTTTTCCCCTCTAGCGTAAGGCTATGAAATAGAAGGTACAAAACGAGGGGCAGAAAGGGTGGGGTAAAAGAGGGTAAGTTTCATACCAATGACAATTGCTTCCCATGGGAAACCTGATGTGCCAGACCTAGCAGTGTCTCAGTATTCACAAGTGCATAGCCAAGAGAAATGAGGGTAAAATGAGGGATGGGATGCCATCCAGAGGGACCTGGTCAAGCTCGGGGAATGGGCCCGCATGAACCTCATGAGGGTTCAACAAGGCCAAGTGCAGGGTCCTGCATCTTTGTCGGGGCAACCCTTGTTACCAATACAGACTGGGGGATGAAGGGATTGAGAGCAGCCCTGCCGAGAAGGGCTTGGGGAGACTGGTGGATGAAAAGCTGGGCATGAGCCAGAAAAGTACGCTCGTAGCCCAGAAGGCCAACCATATCCTGGGCTGCATCAAATAAGCATGGCAGAGGTCGAGGGAGGGGATTCTGCCCCTCTACTCCACTCTGGGGAGACCCCACCTGCGTACTGCATCCAGCTCTGGAGCCCTCAGCACAGGAAAGACATGGACCTGTTGCAGAGGGTCCAGAGGAGGGGCACAAAAATTATCAGAGGGATGGAACACCTCTCCTCCTATGAGCACAGGCTGAGGGAGTTGGGGTTGTTCAGCCTGGAGAAGAAAAGGCTCCAGGGAGACCTTATTGCAGCCTTCCAGTACTTACAGGGGGCTTGTAAGAAAGATGGGGACAGCCTTTTTAGCAGGGCCTGTAGCGGTAGGACAAGGGGTAATGGTTTTAAACTAAAAGAGGGTAGGTTTAGATCAGATCTAAAGAAGAAATTTTTTCACAATGAGAGTGTTAAAGCACTGGCACAGGTTATCCAGAGAGGTGGTAGATGCCCCATTTCTGGAAGTATTCAAGGCCAGGTTGGATGGGGACTCTGAGGAACCTGATCTAGTTGAAGATGTCCCTGGTCATTGCAGGGGGGTTGGACTCGATGGCCTTTAAAGGTCCCTTCCAACCCAAAGATTCTGTGATTCCATGAAAATCACTGCTGTAGCCATCTCCAAGTGCCCTAGGTGGAAGGGTGCAAAGTTGTGAGGGGCCAACCGCACAGGCCCTTTGTGCTACCAAGTTTAAGGTGGTGTGCAACAACATAATGTTAAGCCACAGGTACATAGCTTTCTGAGGTCTGATATACTATAAAATAACATTTCTTAAGCTTTGTGAGTAAGATGATGCTGAATTGCTAAAAATGCTTCTTTCAAAATGGGGAGTTTCAATTTCAATTTTATAGTTTTCTGAGTGTGCAAGTAGTAGTGGACAGTAATAGCTGTTTTCATTGATAACTGTGTAGCAAGTTTGTCATCCACATTTTAAATGTAATCCACTATCTGTAATTGCTTTTGGTACCTACATCACTATTTTGATCATGATGTAGGACTTGAAAATCCGCCAAGGAGACTTAACTGTAATACATGAAAGTAGATCTTAATAGCAGTGGTGAAATGTATAAGCATAATAATTTTTTTTTTAACTATAATCTTCATGTATGATTCCCAGCACTCGAGCGAAAGACTGTAACAATAAACCTGTTGTTCTATTTTCTAGTGTCTTCTGAAAGTCTCTGTCTGTCTTATATAGGAAGACTTGTGGTAGTGGTCTCCTGAAAACTTGCTTTCTGTAATTTATACTTTGTATTTACATGCTGTACTATTATTTTTTCCCGTAGTTCATCATTCTTGTTGTTGACAGCATTGATAGAGAGCGACTTTCTATTACAAAAGAAGAACTTTATAGAATGCTGGCTCATGAGGTATGGTGGGGAGTTGGGATAATAGTTTTCTTTTGTTGAGAACAGTCAAATAACATTACATGCTTCCTATGTTAGCAAAAATTATACTATAATTTCTCAGCCTAAATGTGTATGCATATTGGTCACATTTTAAAACCATGTAAATTATAAATAAACAGAAAATTATTAGGAAGCAATCTTCTAGTAGGGCTTGCCTGTTGTAGTCAAATCACTCTTTGTTTTGCAAGTGTTGAACTTGTAAAGTATCTTAAACTTCATATTAATATAACTGAGTATTGTTCTCCACCATCATCTCTCTTCTTTCAGTTAAATGGTTAAAATTTCAATAAACTTTTTTAAAATATATTTTTATTTTTATTTTAGAAAGTAGACAATTCCATTTCTTTCTTGTTTGTTTTAATCTGGTTTCTTAAAATTAAGGAGCTTATCTAATACTATGGGAAAATTGGTTTCAGTTCAGTTTCCTTCTGGATTATTTTGTTTGTAGTTTTATTATTATATGTTGTATTGAGGACTGTTCAACATTGGGTCACCTCGGTCAAACATCCTAAATTAACATCTACATTGGATTAGCTAAAGTACATTAAAAACTTCTGTAATCACTCTCAAGCTAAATTAGGGTTGTTTCAAATATGAATATCTAAATTTTTGAATGAAAAGTATTTAGTACAGTGCAAGTAATTCTGTGGAGTTCATTTCTCTGAGAGATTTGCATTGTTTCAAATGAGTGAGGTTTTTACTTTATAGTTAATATTAATAAAGTTTGAGTCTGGTAGTAAGGAGCAAATAGCCTACCAAAAAAGGTGGCAAGATGACTTTTTATGGTGAAGTTTTCTCATGTAACTTATTAGTTTCCAGTGTTATAAACTCTTAGCAGGTTGTGATCTACTGTCTCTTGAAAACAGTCAGTAGACCTAGACTGTACTACTTGTAGGAGTGAATTTTCAACTTTGGACCATAAAGGTTTGGGTGTGTTTTTCTCTTTGTGGAGAAATCATCTCAAAATTTAATATACATTTAAATGCGTTGAACACTTATTTATAACTGTCCCCTTCCTGAGTACTGCATTTGTTTACCTTTCTGCATTCCTAAAACCCCACATCCCAGTTCTTGTCTCATTGCTGTGTGGAATCCTAATTTCCATACAGAAACAAAACAACTTTTTATTAGTTTCCATTTTCACTAAAGCTGCTGCAGCATTATTAGAGCTCCCTTTTTAGAACAATAGGGTAAAACTTTAAAGAATTTAGATAGCTTTCTTAAATTGTTACTGCTTTAATCACTACAGAATTTGTTTAATGAAGTTGAAGGTAATTTCAAGGGAATGTTATCTAGCAGGCTTTTCTTTTTGAATAGTAGCTAATGTAGCTTTTGGAATGTTTATCCAGTAATAATTCTGCTGTCTGGATGGTTTGGAGCTTTATGAAATATATTTTAACAAAACTTTCATTAGTTAACATATGAACATGTGGTCAAAACCAAAAAGATAGTCATATAATACATTATAGTTTGATTCTGTGTGGTGGGGAACACTTCTGAATAAATTAGTTTCTTCAGTCTTACTGCATTAAAAATTAATTACATTGTTAAGATTCCATGCTGCTGTGTAATTGTAGATTAACTTGAATACAGTTCTTTTAAGAACTTCAATTTGCACAATAACATTTTAGTTCTTTATAATAACTACTATGAATACTTTAAATTCTTCTAGGATTTACGGAAGGCTGCAGTTCTCATCTTTGCAAACAAGCAGGACATGAAAGGTTGCATGACAGCTGCAGAGATCTCTACATACCTCACTCTTAGCTCCATAAAGGATCACCCGTGGCACATTCAGTCCTGTTGTGCCTTGACAGGAGAAGGGTAAATGCTTACTGCTTAGTATGGTAATATATGGTAAATGAGAATACTGATGTAGAAGCCTATTGACATCAATGTGGATTTCCCAAAAGAACATATATTCTGATGTTTGCAGTCAGAGGGACCTTTTGAATTTTTCTTCATTGAACCTTGTGGATTTTTGTTCATAGCTCAAACTCCAAATTTGTATGAAAGTCTTTCAGCTTATTGCTGAGAAAAACCCCAAACAAAACCCAAGCAACAACACAGACCGCCCCCCCCCAAATGCATAGCTGTTGGCATAATTTTTTACTCTGTGTGCTGCCCTCTCATTCTGTGTGTCTTTGTGTAGTTAAAGAAATAAGCTACTGTTGTCTTCAGTTATATTCTGATCTGCTGTAAACTTCTGAAGGGGGGGTGGTGGTTTTGGGGTTCATTTTTGGTTCATTGGAGTTTTTTGATACGCATTCAAACATAGTTTTGATGAAAAAGTATATAGATCTGTCATGAACCAAAATTGTTACAAATATTAAAGCTTTTATTTATATCTGGCTGATGTAGCTAATTTTGAAACTCATATACCTTATGCCAGCAATTACTAAAATCGAAAGCTGAGCTTTCCTTAGATCCTTTGTCTGTAGAGATCAAAAAACATTTTTGGATGCCTGTAAAAAGTTGGATAGTGTCTTGCTTACATGGTCTGAAGTGTGCTAATTTTTCATCTGGATTCTTAAAGCAGTCTTCTAATGTGTAATAGAGGCTTTTTTCAGCTGTGTTGTACAACCTTCACAATAATGTGGTCTTGTGACATGAAAACTAGTGAATCCAACTAAAGTATTTGGGAAGTGAGAGCATCTTTCTTACTTCTAGCATGAAGTATTTTCTAATGTAATGGAGATGTCTTGTAGAGTGATTGGTAGCATTCGCTTCCTTAGGGTGGGATATGTTAATGAAAACAAACTGGTTTTTTGATTGAGTCTTTGGATTGTATTGTTTCATTCTGAGACTTAACTCTGCTTTACTCCTACCGGTTTTGCCAAAGTCACTTTTGAGTATTTAGTTTATGTATTAATTCAGACCTTAAAATAAGTTGGCATTTGGAGGAAGATAGAAATGATTTAATATGGTAATGAATATGAACTTCAGTTTAGAAACATTGACCATCCTAGGCTGCTTCTTTCTTATTTAAAAAAGATGAGTATTAGAATACTTAAAACTGTGACAGTAGTGAGACCAACTCATAAAAAAATTCCCAGAGTTAGATGGCTGAGCTGAATCTTCCTTGGGAAGATCTGGCAGAAGTCTAGGGAGATTAGCCCCATGCGAGTGAAGCTAGCTCTTGTGATAGCTAAGTCATTATATACTTTACAAAGGTAGCATAAACTAGGTAACTAGATCCCTAGAACATCAAAGGAAGGCCTATCTTCTGAAATGGAAGACTTTTAATGAGAGATGCAAATTGAGTGAGTAAGCAGATTAGAACCATGGAATCTCAGTGTTGCATATAAACATATTTTTAATTTTGTAATGGGATTTTGGAATTCTTGATACACTGCCTTTTTGTGAACCAGTTCAGTCTGGGTACCTGTCCTTTCTCTTTTAGTATTAGTATGTAAAAGTCTAGTTTTCAGGTAAGCAGTCTTTCATGGGAAATCAGTAGAAAAAGAAAAACTGATTTGGTTTCATGTAGTTATTAGTAAGCCATGCTTCAATAAAATAGTATGATTTAACCATCTTCTTGTTAAAGCCTAAGTAGACATAGTTTAAAACACTGTTTACTCTGTTCAAGTTTCAATCCCAGTTCCAGCTGATTTTATTTTAAGTACATGTTTTTAAACATAAAACAAGTAGAAAATACTTGAAAGATGTTGGACTAGAACTAGTACCAATATAACATCTCTTATCTTTCAGATTATGCCAAGGCTTGGAGTGGATGACCTCCCGTATTGGAGTGAGATAGCTTTTCCCCCCTCCCACAAAAAGAAGAGACTTCTATTTATCCTGTGAACATGTACATTTTTCTGTACTTCTGGCTGCTGAGGCAGTGACCATGTTTAATTTATATCAGCCAACCCCCAAACTGTACTTGAATCAAGTGCAGTTGAACTGAAACACAAAGTATTTTCTTAACTTTTTTTAATACACTAATCTTCAACTGGATGAACATATGTGAATCTGTTTTTAAGCATTGAAATTTCTCTGAATATGTATTCTAACTTTTTCAATGATAGCTTTTTAAAATCTGTTTTGTCATTGTCAATATTTCATACTTCCTCTTTTTAAATAGTTTCTATAACTTACTATCATAAATGAGTGCAGCTTGTTTAATAATGAAAAAGTAGTGAGTAAGTTGACTTTACTCTGGCATAGTTTAGCCTCTAAGGATAATCATATCTCCAGCTGGGCTTCCTGGAACATCAGTAGAGTTCTAGCCAGCATGGGAGTTAATAGTTATGAATGAAAGTTCTTAAATTCTGAACGAGTTAATTATAGTTAGTATTGTGGTGGCTTTTAACCTGGTATATAATTGAACTTCTGCCTTAAAAAAAAAAAATCTATGTCATTCTCAATTTCTCTGGTAAGTAGTTCTAGGATATGATTCTTTTTCTTTGACTTGAAAATACATCTCTGTACAGTGGATAAATATTTTGTTATTAAGTGGTGGTTTAGTCATCTAGAACTTGAATACCTTTTTAGAAATAAACTTCTTGATAACTAAATTTGAAATCACGGCAGCCAGTGTTACGTGTAGACTTGCTGTAATCTGTTAAAATTTTAAATACTGTACACATAAACCTTCCTCACCTTTTGGTGAGAATGCTATTTTCTAAATGAATGCAAAATCAAAAGGGAAGCCAGATTTATAAACAGAACAAAATCATGGTGCTGTATCTGTAGACTTCAGAGTGAAGCTAATCTTGACATTTATTCACCTACTATCATATATGTTTTCAGACTCTGTTGCACAGAAAATATTTTGCCTTAAATTTGTTTTTAGTCTTATTTGCAGGAGAGAACTCTTGGTGGTTGTTCGAGTTAGATTCACCCACCAGAAATTTAGGAACTGAAAGCTGAAAAAGTAGAGAGCTTCTATTTGAAAAACAGGTGTTGAAAGATTGGACCTAGTAACTCTTCATTCAGTTTGAAGGGGATGAAGATAGAACTGTAAAGAGAAGCTAAAGTTATGGATGAAGTTAACGGAGAACATTAGACACCCAAAAAACCCCAACCACCAAACGCCCTCAAAAAAATCTGAGGCAAAAAAACCCAAACACAATACTGGGCACCCAGTTCCTAGTGAAATCCCAGCAGCAGTCAAGGATCTAACCTTTATAAATGCTTGGCAGGCTTTCCAAAAGCACCATGCTGCACCTTTTCATGCCTAAAAACTATGTGGAGTCTGGTTACTAGAACCATTACGCTATAATTGACTAGAGTCCTTTAACGATAAAGTGTTTTTGATAAGTCTTGTTTTGATAATTAAAGCACACTGTTTTCTTTAATAAAAATTTAGGTTTTGTAAATTTCAATTTCGTTCCATTTTTGTTTGAACAAAGCTTAATGAAATTATGAAAGTATCAGCAAATAAGTTGTCATAAGTGTTAAAAAGACTTTGAATACATGTGGAATAAGTGATGGGTTGAATTAAGTTATATATTAAGTCACATTTAGGAGAAAGACTATGTTGAGTGTCAAGTCAAAATTCTCAGAAAGTAATTTACATCAGTGAAAAATAGTGCTTAAAGAGGAATGCAAGGCAAGATTAAAATCTGGTACTAAAGCTTCTTGCTCCAATGTTCATATGAACAACTGTTCTAACATGTGAAATTAAGATTTGTTTTGTTCTTAGGGAAGGAAATTATAAATGAAAAAAATAAAAAGATACTGTGAATGAGGTTTCTTGTTTGGTGACTTAATAATTGTAGTTTGCAATATAGATTTATTTTCAGGTTCATTTTTATGCAATTCAGAATGCAGTCCCAAATATTTATAAAAAGCACTATCTGGATATATAGCCCTTTAATTGCTTTAAAAAAAAAACAAACCCAAACATTTTATATTTAACACTCTCCAGGTAAAACCATTCATAAATCTATCATTTGATTACTAAATCCAATCTCACCTGAGGTAATAAATCTAACTGATTAGGAGGAAATGGTAATGTTGTAGACCTTAGAATATCAGAATAATGAAAGTTTTCTTTTAATTCCCTAACACTTAAGACCTTGGAGCACATTTACAGAAGGAAACATTCTTGACAGTAGCTATGATTTTCATCACCTTACTACTTCATTTTCTACAATGGTTTTCCATTTATGATATTGGTTTGTTCACAGCATTGGGTTTGCTTGGGGTTTTGTTTTTTGTTTTTTTTTTAAAGGCTTGGTGTGGAATTGTGGGGCTTGGTATTTTTAATCACCTTCAGAGCCTGTTAAACTAAAAGTAGTTTGATTAAAATAACTTTTACAGTGGGGTGCTTTAGAACACTGTATGTGTCTTTACAGTGCCTAACACTGCATTATTTTTGTTCATCTGTATATAGTAAGTGTATTGCAGGTGGTTTTTGCACTTTTGCACATAAAATACTCTGCATTTAATATACTGTTCACAAAGAACACTGTTAATCAACTTCTTAAAGGAAATTACAAATATAAGGAAATATTTCAAAACATTCTTGAGTAAAATATCACAAAGATTTTTCTCCTAAATAATCCATTTTACTCAAAATACAGGATACTGTAATAAAGCAATGGATATGCATGTTACAGTCTAATTTGTAACATCAGACCCATTGTGTTATGTATCATATTATGACAGAAATAGTTCCAATTTGTTTAACAGCCTCTAGAGCATGCACATTTGAGCAATTTTTGTCATGCTTGGATGAGGTGGGCAGGATCTGCTTATTAAAAATAATCTTTGCAGACTTTTAAGCTCTTGCTTTATTTAATTTGCTTAGTTTATTTGAAGTGGAATTAAGTTTTACAATAAGGCTTTCCCTTCCCCGATGCATTCGTCTGTAAGCTAACTGTTGTTACTAAGTAGATCCAGTAATAACTTTAATGTTTCTCTCCCTGTTAATTGTTTTAAGACTGAATAAAGGCTTATTGCATAAACAAGTGCTAGAAAAAATAAGCTGGCCAATTGAGTAGTAAGTGTACTATCCTTCCTACCTTTTTTGTCCAGCTAGCTTTCATCTGCTTCAATAATATGTTGTACATGAAAACCATTTACTGAGGAAAGAAAAATGTTTTGTGATCATAAAAAGTTGCTTTACTTTTCGTACCATTTGGCATGTTAAAGTGGGTCATGCTGAGAAGAAAACAGTTTTCTTTCTTTACCCTACCGTTCACAGTTACTGTAGCTTGCAAATATTGAAGTGTTCTCTATTATAACTTCATATACTGAATTTTTGAAAAGTTCATTTGCTCTTTGTAAACTGAAATGCCCCCTGTAAAATACGCAGTTTGAATTTTTTTCCAATTTTGCAAATAAAATTCTACAGTCAAACTGGTAGTCATTTCACCATGTAAATATTGTAAACAGACACCAAAATAGGGGGTTGGTGTGGAAGAAAGCTCTGATGAACAATTATGTAAATGTTTGATTTTTGTGCTCTTCAAGTAATTTTTTTAAGAGATTACTTGCTTTTGTGTTCTGTTTTGCCTTTTTTTTATTAAAAAAAAAAAGGCTTATGGGTAAAATACAACTTGTAGACAAATATTTACAGACAGATCAGTAATTTGTGTTGCTTTTTGAAAACTGGGATTGGGGATGGGAAGTACAACTAGTTGAATTCCTGTTTTTCTGTGTCCCAACAGTATTTCGTAAGGATAGGATTTAAATAGTAGATACTTTTTCTGTATCTTTGCCTAGTGTGTTAATGGTGACCTTTTTAATGTAACATGATATGTTTCCTTTTTCTCCAGCAATTTCAAAAATCTTCCCTAAGAATAAAGAGTTTTGAAGATGTTCTCAAAGCAGAAGGACCAGAGTAACAAAATAAGTACGTGCCTGTATTTACACGCTGTCATCTAGACACGATGCATCTCTCCCATAGGAATATACCTCCTGAAACACTGAATGAAGTTGCCTTCCTGAAACCATACTTTTTATCATTTTTGCAAAAACAAACCCAGAAACCTCACATGCTTGTTGGCTTTTGTTTCTTAAGTTAATGGGAAGATAAGCATATGTTAAATGAAGATAAAACTTTGTAGATACAAGCCAACGAATTACAGAATTTTGTGTAAAATTCTGTAATTCGTTGGCTTGTATCTACAAAGTTTGTGTAAAACAGCCAGAACTTCTGTAAGACTACGCAAATGCTACTGTAGATAGTAAAATCTGACATAAAATTGCTTTGTTTTCAGAAAACTAAAGCTGGAACGTGTCAGCTTTCATAGGCACAGATGTACTCCTTTTGGCTGAATGTGGCTTCTTTGTAATTTGCTTCACTAAGTGGAATGTTCAATCTGTTTGAGAGGTCCTGAATATGTATTTCACTGTTCATGAGTATGTTCATGGTTGTTTGCCTTAAGGGTGTACCTTATCTTAGTCTCTGTACTCACCACTGGAGGTCAGGCTTAGGAAATAAACTCTCTTGATTTCTTGATGGTGCCTCACTACCTTTCCATCCTGTTTCTAATTTGAGCCTTTGTCCTTTTTTTTTTTTTTTCCTTTTTTTCTCTCCCTTACCCCCGCAAGGTATTGTTGCCTTGTACTGTCTTGTCTAAAGATGATGATTAAGCTATATGAGGTACTGTCAAAAAAAAAAAAAGCAAGTGATCATACTCTATAGGTTTTACCAAGTAAACCGCATTTTCCTCATACACCTGTCTTGCTAAATCCAATCTCAGTACACTGTTATGTCCCTTTTATTTTTTTTTTTGTATTTACATAGCTGAAGTACTTTCTTTCAGTTTGTGTTCATGTTTACCCTCTATCCCCAAGCAGTCTCCATTTTCAAGGCATTGCTTGCATCTTATCTGGGGATGTAAAGAGTCCCCTAGCTGGATGTTCTGCAGAACCTGTGCGACAGTTCTGGTACAGGGGCACAGATTTCCTGAAGTTTAGCCGGGTAGGCTGTACTAACACTTGGGCCCATGTCACAGCTGCCTCCATACCTGTGGGCACTAGCAGTTTCTTAGTTTTAATCTCTGCAAGTTCTTCTGTATCAAATTTAAGGCTTGCTATGCACCACTGGGATTTTTGTTCTGAAATGTGTGCTGTTATCCTGATTGTGCAGGAGACTTTCCTTTTTTTTCTTTCTTTTTTTCTGTGAACAACATATTCCATAAATGTAATGTCTAGAGATAGAGATTTTTTTTGCATCAGCAGTGTTGGTCTAATATTAAACTTCTGTATATGCTTACACAGCACAAACTATGTTCCAGTTCAAGAAATTGAGGTGATTTATACAGATTTATATTATATTGCTGTACATGGGTTGGCATGTGGCTTTTTATTTGTTCGTTTTTTGGAATTTCTTGCCTAGGCGGTAAAGAGCTTCAGTATCCCCAAGCCAGTGATCCTTTCCAGCTATTTAAACACACTACACACAGTAATGGAGAGAGGACTTGGGCAGAGCTACTCAAACTCTTTTTTTATCAAAATAAAATTAATTTTAAGAGTTGTTCTGAATTTGAGTGGGTTTTTTGGTTGTTCTTTGTGAAAAGTGACTGGAGTAACACTGGCACTTTAAGTGTAAGGGGTTAGGGCAGGCATTTCATCTTCAATCCCTTCACTGGGGCAGAATCGGGGCCTGCATCTTGTGCAACTGCAGCCAGTTCATGAAACATCTTGGTTGGACACCTGCTTCTTTTCCTTCCAGGAGAAGCTCCAACTTTGATCCTAAAAAGACTTTCATATTGTTTCAGTCATGGGAAGCATGGGTCTTTGTTTTAGAGAAGAGTGTTTTAGTGAACTGTTCCCTTTCAATGAGCAAAACAAATCCAAATGGAAGAGGAGGAGGAAAAACTTGTTTGGATTTTTTTGAGTGCATTTGGCTATGCTGT